CACTAAAATCAGCCCTCCCCCGAAAATATTGCAACACAGCAGCAGCCATGAGGTGACCCCACTCGCCGCCTCCTGCACCTCAAAAATAATAAGGCCTCCCCCGAAAATATTGCAACACAGCAGCAGCCATGAGGTGACCCCACTCGCCGCCTCCTGCACCTCAAAAATAATAAGGCCTCCCCGAAAATATTGCAACACAGCAGCAGCCATGAAGTGACCACACTCGCCGCCTCCTGCACCTCAAAAATAATAAGACCTCCCTGAAAATAAGACAGGGTCTTATTTTTTTTTGACTCACAAAATAAGCACTTGGCCTTATTTTCGGGGAGGTCTTATTATTTTTGAGGTGCAGGAGGCGGCGAGTGTGGTCACCTCATGGCTGCTGCTGTGTTGCAATATTTTCGGGGAAGGGTTTATTTTTGGTGGAAGGGTTAATTTTAGAGCATGCACTCAAAAGCCGAATTGGGCTTATTATCCAGGGAAGTCTTATTTTCAGGGAAACTATTTATTTTTCTTTAAAAAAATCATATTAGTGGTCTGCAGAATTTAAAATTATGAATTTAGTGGTCCCAAAAGGTTGGTGACCCCTGCTTTGGACCAAAGCCTTGAAGGAGGACCTCTGCCTTAAAGTTGCTCCTTCCCCTCTTTTCCAGGGAATTTTTCACTGACCAAACCCGTCAAAGGATGCGTTCAAGATGGCGACTGCACCAAGGTCCGGAAAGGGAGCAATGCCATCACCCTCTCAGGCTCCTGTTGTTCAGGGAATCTCTGCAACACGAATCTCTCCAACAAAACGCATTTCTCCACCTCCATTCCAAGGCCGGCCTTCCTGCCTGCTGAAGAGACCAAGAACGCAACCGCCACGACCCCTCCGACATACGTCCGGGTCAACGCAGCCACAGTGGTGGCTTCCACTTCCAGCAAGATCACTCGTTCTCTTGGTGTGAGCCCATCGGTGGGCGGCCCTCAGAAGGACCACGGTCACGACCACGACCACGACCACGACCACGACCACAGTCACGAAGAGGATGAAAACAACGTCGTCGTTCAAAATAGGAAGGTGGTCCCTTCGGTGCAGGTTGAAGAAAGAAAAGTTGGTGGGCCAAAGGGAGGTGTAGCAGGCTTGCAGGGGTCCCTCCTGGTGACTTTGGTCCTCCTTGGCTTGTCTCTGTGAAGGTGAATCAAGGAGCAAACTGACATTCAACCTTCTTCCCTCTTTTTTTCCTTCGCCCGATCAAAGCTTATCGCGTCCAGCTTTGCCTCATTCGGTACGATCTCTCCCACTCTGAGCAGGAAGCTGGACTAGAAGACCTCCAAGGTCCCTTCCAACTCTGTTGCTATTCTGTTATTCTGTTTTGTCTGCCTGTATTAGGCCTCTTCTCAACAACCCGGCCTTTTGGACATAATGTCCGATTCATGACATTCTGAGTATTGGAAATAAATTGTCCTTTGGCGCGCTTCTCTGTAACAGGTACTCCTTGACTTACAGTGATCCGTTTAATGACCGTTTAAAGTCCAAGGGGCACCAAAACAAGTGACCTTCAACCGTCCCTTGCACTTATGACCATCACAGCATCCAAAAAGTCACGTGGTCGAAATTTGGGCATGTGGCAACAGGGAAATACTTATAATAGTTGCAGCATTTTCCAGGGTGATGGGATCACCAGTTATGACCATCCACATGACAAGCAAAGTCAAGGAGAGAAGCCAGATTCATTTAATGACTATATGGCTCACTTAACAACTGCAGTGATTCACTTAACAACCATGACCAAAAAGGGCATGAAATTGGGCATAAGGCACTTAACAAGCACCTTACTTAGCAGTAAAAAAAAAATCTGTTCTCAATTGTATATCTTAGGTCCAGAACTACCTGTACCTTATTTTCACAGTAGCCACTAGAAATCAAGATATAATAAGATATAATAAGAGCCGAGGTGGCGCAGTGGTTAGGGTGCAGTACTGCAGGCCACTTCAGCTGACTGTTATCTGCAGTTCAGCGGTTCTAATCTCACCGGCTCAGTTTCAGTTCAGTTTCAGTTTATTTCATTTATATGCCGCCCTTTTCCCCCGAAGGGGACTCAGGGCGG